TATTGTCGTTTTTACTAATCTATAAACTTTATTACCAAAACAGGTTTAAGAAGAGTCCCTGCAAATACTATGTTGGAATGGTTTCTTCTTCCAGTTTTTATTCTTGGAAGCAAAATACGGTCTTCATTGGGTCTTTTTGGAGAAAGCTCAAGTTGGTTGGTGGCCTTTTTTGTTTGTTTCATCAGTTATTTATTTATTTGGACTTTGTTCCTGTTGCAGATGTTATTTTTAGTGGCAAAAGTGAAAACAGGAATTTATGCAAGATACACGTTTAGATATGAATTTTGTTTCAGGTACAACTTGTACCCTAGGAAGTAAGTACCTAATCTCAGATATGTTCTCAGAACTCATAGTAATTCTGTTTCCAGTTTTTTCTTGCCTTTTCACACTCTTACATATATTTTCCATCCATTCTTTAATTTTGAACGAATTAAAGAAAATCCTGAACCAAAATTTCAGTTATTTATTATGGAATCATAGAATTGTTTAGATTGGGTGACTTTGAGTGAAATTTGTGTTCTTCTGTGCTTCTGTGACTTCCAAACTCTGTGTTCTGCTAGCAAATAACTTTCAGTATGGAGAACAAAATATTATCTACAGTCATTCTAGTTCACGCCACAGCTTTGTAAACAAACTTTTTGATTAGGGTAATTCCTCTGATACTGAGGCACATTTTTATTAGTTTTGGTCCTGTAGTCACATAAAATAATAAAATAATTGAAATATATTGTCAGAAAGTGTGATTCTGAATATTAAGAGGAAATTAGTTTTGAAATTTGCCATTTCTGCATAATAAATTGCCAGAATACTAGTGTTACAGTTTTTAATTCAGACACGTTTCTGATGGTGAGAGCGTGTGAAAATGTTTGTCATAGAATGTATTTGATAATTCATCTGTGGTCAAATATCAGCTCAACTCTGATTCAGTATCAGCAATGTTGCAAGCCACAGCAGAGGAAGAAAAGGCTTAGAATATATTGTTCTTCATTGCAGCTCTTAATAGTACAACATCACAGTATCTGTCTGAAATGTGGTAATCGCTCTTTTAGTCTTGCTAGATATGAGACTTCAAAATTATTACTAAGAGGTACTTCAGAATTTACTGTGACCTTAAATTAGTGTGGCCTTTAGGGCAAAAAGAGTAATGCTACTTTTAATTTTATGCCCTGGAGTAATGCTTTTAAGATAGCTTAGTGTGATGAACAAACAAGAAGTGAATTAGATGGACTTGTAACGCAGCAATAATTACACCTATTTTTTAGTTTTTAAGATGTGTAGAATGAGTGCTTCATCTTAAGTTCTTACATTCTTCACACTATTTTTTGCAATCACATTTTTTAACAGCTGTTGTTTTGCTATTGTCTGTGCATGTGTCGTGGGTTTTTTATTTCTGTCGGGATTCTGTACTTCAGGTTTTTATATTTTTGGCTTTGTCAACCTTATGGATGCTTGGATCAACATTCTTCTGCTGTCCTGAAAGCTTCTGATGGATTACAAAAGGGCAACCGATTCTTTTTAATTTTTAATTTAACACACCATTGTGTGTTAAATGCGTCTTTTCAAACACACCTTCACCAAAAATGTAGCTACTTGCACCAGGATAGGATCTGGTGAAATTTCCCTTCAATTTTTAAGTATACTTATACTGTTTAAGTGTACTTATATTATTTAAGTATACTTATATTGTTCCTGTAATTACTTGTAGGCAGTATTTTTGTGGCAAGCTGGCCTCTGCTTATTTGATTAATAGGCTGAGTTCATACACACTGGTTTGATGCCAAACTCTTCTGGAGGAAGAATTGTAGCACTTTTATGTAGACCTCCTGCACTGATTTGTGATAACTTTTCTTAGGTTAGTCACTAGGAAAACTCTAGCTTACAGTTTTACTTTTCAAAATTTTATAGAAGGGTAACTCTTAGAAGTCAAGGGATGATGTAATGCAGTTAGATTTTTAAAAGTAGCTTGATAGATGTTCTACTTGATATTTGAAAATGCATAGTTGAAATGTTACGTCCTAGACGTGATTTCCTGTAAGGTGCCAGATTCTCGTCAGGGATTCTAACAGGGCAACTACTCTGCAGTCTTTGTTTCTGTCCTCTTGGCTGTAGATTGGTGAGCATTTCAAATGAACATAGAAACTACCACAGCATTTAACTTACTTCTTTGTTAAAAAGCATATCCCTTTTTAGTTCCTGATACTAATTTGGACCATTTGAGTACCAGCCAGAGTTTGCCAAATTCTCTACTCACCTTCTGTAAATAAAACAAATTGAAGATTTCCTTGCAGGTTATATTTGAAAGAATATAATTAAATTAAGCTTTTGATGATTTAATATGTTGATGCTAGATGAGCGTGGGTGAGACATAGCAGAAATTACAAATGCTTTATGTTAGTTTTCTGAAGATGCGGAATACAAACAAACCCTGGGAATGCCATAGTTGCAATTCTAGCGAATACATCATATGAGGAAGCTCCTAGTCACATTCCAAGTGATACCTGTGAATGTATGGTCATATATCTGACAAATTACTGGAAAATTTCACTTGCAAAGTATAATATATAGACTTTAAAAACAAAAGAAGCTGTTGTAGGGTAGGTTTGCCCAGCACAGTGGCCAAGGTGGTAGTGTCCCTTGAAGACATTTGGCATGCTGAGAGCCCAGAAGGCAAAGCCTGAGCTTTGGCTTCCTTTGCACCTGTGCAGCAAAAAGTTCTCTTTGACTTCAGGCAGTCCTGAGAATCAGCAGCTACCTGGCAGGGGTGTGTCCCATTTCTGGCCAGGCATTGAACATCTGCTAGCTAACTAGCATAGCTGCAGAGGAGCTGAAACTCAGGTGGGCTGACTCTTGACTGAAGTTCTTGGGTCAGTAATGCAAGCAGGATGCGAGAGCGTTGTTGCAAAGGGTGATATATGAATATTTAAAGAAGTGGCAGTATTAGGGGGTGATAGGTAGAAGCTCTCTATTAAATGCTGAATTAGATTTCTGTCTCTTTTTTTTTTTTTTTTTAACGTTCCTGTTGATAATCATGTATGAAAATGGAGCATTTCAAGGAACATCTTATGTCTTTTATTGCTTGGAAAAAAATTTAATAATTTAAATTAAGCATATTTACTGTTTGAGATAACATAGTAACTTCAGTAATGTATAAGCTCTTAGATAATTATATGTGTGTACACGTATAGACAAACACAAATACAGAAGAAAAATTGTATCTCATTGATACTAAACTTTATGAAGTGAATGTATTCTAGCTTAGTCAGGGAGGTGATGGGACATGTATACCCTTTAAAGCTTTTGGGGTATAATAATGCACCTGGAGCATGAGAGCTGGTTCTACTGAAGCTACAGAGTACAGAGGGCTGCATGGGATTCTCAGAACTTAACTCCCAAGATGGATTTTTTTCAGGTGATCTCAAGGTAGTAGGAAGTGAGGCAGTGATTGTTTATGAAGATCCTCATCACCTTTTTGCTGTCATTTTGCTTAAAGGAGAATAAATAAGTGCCATAACACGGAAGTATGAAAATAAATGTCTATAGTTTGGCAGTCTTTTTAAACAAATGGGAAATATATAGTGTTTAAGGCCTGCTGACATTTGTTTTAGCTCTATCACTGTCAGTATACAAGGCTTATACTGGTGTAAGTTTTAAAATGAATGCTTTAAAATTAAAGTAATACATTCTACAAATATGCAAACTCTTTCCTTACTTCCTGAACTTGGTTAGGCTGAGTTGGTATTTTGTCATTATAGTTCCCCACTTTTCCATCTAAGTGCTCTCACAGGAGCCATATTTCATGTTTGCTCCTTCATCAAACAACAAAAGAGCAAATGTCCTATACCCAGAATGAAGATGCACTCACTGTGTGATAGATTTGTGCTCAGGCAGGTGTAAACATGCAGCTGGATGTGCACCTGCAGCTTGGCTGAAAACTGAGTTATCTTGAAGATGTGCCTGTAGCCAGTTGTGTTATAGGACTTGCATGCTGGTGGCTGGGCATAGCCGGTTGTGCGATGGTTGTTACTCCAATGAGTGATAATGACAAGAGGCATGAGTAGTCTACGCCATGTGCCTGTGTGGTTTCCTGAGTTGAGGAGTATTGTGTGAACACTTGTTCATGTGGGCCCAGTTTGGTAGGCTGGCTGTCCTTCCTGTGGCGAATCATCTTGAGATACATATGCACTGAAGTTTGAATAGAGGTGTGCTGGATGTGAGCCTTTCTTTGGGGCAGTTGGAAGGAAGGAAGTAAAGAAGTTGCAGTGGATTAATGCATTTGTGGGGGTTTCCTGTGTAGTAATGGAATGTGTCAATGCTGGCATGGAGTTACAAGTTTCTGCTGAGTTTTTGCACAATGTGTGCGGACTTGACCATGTAAGGTAGTGTCTGAAATATATGTTCTCAATATAATGGGTAAGGGGCTGTGTAGTGGGCAGTGGACTAGAGGATAGCTTGGATTTTGCATAACTTGTTTGTAAGGATTTATAGAACATGCGAGAAATAAGCTTCAAGTTTTCATGTACAGCCTTAATTATCCTTGACGTGCATATACCTTATGATGAATTCAGTTGCATTCTAACATAAGTTTTTTCTATGTTTTCTTTCTCATCTGGCATACAGAGCGAAGAGTAGTTATTTAGCAAGCAGCTTTGCACACACATATTATTATTACTGTTTTAAAACTTTTTGGTGATTGATTTATGCCGTACCTGTGTTCACAAGCTCCAGCCTGAACAGACTGCTTTAGTCTGTTGGTCATTGTTGTAATGGCTGAGTGACTGACAAAACATTAGTGAAAAGTCTTGAGAGAGACGAATACATTTATATTCCCCTCTACAGATGAAAGTTATGATGCAGGTCAGTACAAGATTCCTCATAGTTTATAGAAGAGTATACGCAAAGCTCAGCTCTTGCTGAGTAGTGGAGGCACATGCTGAGACTGTCTGTAAGTCTAGTAATGTCGTTTTCAGTTAAGCCTGCACAGCCTGTGGCACTTCCGGAGAATGATCTGGCTAGTGTCATGCAGAAAACTTGTAGCAGGTAAGGGAACGGCATCCCGCTAACTAAAAAATGCTTAGTGGCCTTGCTTTCCAAGAATCACCACCTCCCAGCTCAAGATGGGTCCAGCTCGGTGAGCAGGGAGCCAAACAAAGGTAGCAGCAGAGCTGCATGGATGAACAAGGAACCCTTGGCAAAACTGCAGTGTGAAAAGGGAATGTACAAGAGCTGGAAGTGAGGACAGATGACTGGAGAGGAGTGTAGAGGGATGGGGATAGCAAAGCTAAAGCTCACCTGGGGTTTAATCTGGTGAAGGATTTGTAGAAACACTTCTTGTTCTCCTTCAGATGTAACAGCAGGAAGATTAGTGTGAAAAATGGGGGCCTGATACTGAATGGAGCAGGGAACCTGCAGACATAGAAGCGCCTGCAGTACTTAGAGGCTTCTGCTGATAAGATGAGCCATCAGGAATCACAGGTTCCTGATATCAGTGGGAAAGTCTGGAGCAAGAAAGACCAGATTAGAGAACACTTAAACAAAATGGGAATACCTGAGTCCATGGGATCTAATCAGATGCCTTCCTGAGTGCAGAGGCAACTGGCGGGTCTCACTGTTTGGCCGCTCTCGGTTATCTTTGAAAGGTCATGGTGGTCTGGGGGCACGCCTGAGGACTGGAGTGTCACGTTAACAGGAATGTAGTTTCAGTATTTGTCTGTCAGAGTCCCAGGACTGATCCGTTTGTCGTCTTCCTGGCGAAAGACTTTCTCTCAGAGTTTCGGCAAAGGACTCGTACTGATCATATTCACAAAAATCAACATTAGTTACTTTGAGAGCAGCAGAACCGATTCGAGATTGCCATTGATAAATTCAATGGCACTACTAATTAAGGTTAATATTGCTAGCAGAAATTTTAATGACAACAACCCGGGGGTAACATTCACCAGAGGGTGAAAGGTTTGACGCTACCCAGAGAGGCGTCCCTGCTCGGGGTGGAAGAAGAGAATGCTGCCTGTTGACTGGTCCATCAGGTGTTCAATTTCTTTTCTCCCAATTTAACAATAATTTTCTCCATCTTTTTATCCCCAAAATTATGAGGTTTTTCCCCCTCCAGGTGATGTGTAGTATGATTTGGTTGGAGAGATGAGTGCTATAGTCATACGTATTTAGCATGATCTCTGTAATCTTCATTAGCAGATGCAGAGGTGACAACTTTAACATGCATTTTGTAAGTAATGAGGCAAATATTAGTCTGCATATATGGTAGCCTTTTCTAAGAAACAAAGAACTGCACTGACTCCTGTTATCTTCTTGTCTCTGCTGACCAAAAGCGGGGCTGTCCTGCCTGCACAGGACCTCCTCCTCAGCTGCATGCTGTGATAGCCAGGCGAGCCTCCACACCCCTGGATTGCACTAGAGATAGCAAGGCCAGTCTTAGGGGGTTTTTGAGCACAGAGGCCTCTCCTCATTATCCAGGCTTCACATGGAGGAATATGGCAGATCTTATTGCAGGATAGCTTCTGTTAGGTTTCTGTGTTTGCTTACGTTAGTTCCCTGTGTTTACTTGGTTTTCATTGTGATGATGACTTTTCTGTGAATATTTCTCAGAGTGGGTGTTTTTTACAAACAAATAGAGTTAGTCATTTTGATTTAAGATAGCTGTACTAGACACATGCTTTCTGTATTTAATTTCATCAAACAACCTCCTGTTGAGTTTAATGGTTACATTTTCTCAAAGTTTTTATAAGAAGTTTACCTACTTAATTATTCTTTTTTAAACTCCTAATTAGAATCATAGAACAGTTTCAGTTGGAAGAGACCTTCAAGATCATCGAGTCCAACCTTTGCCCTAGCCCTGTCAACACCACTAAACCATGTCCCTTGGCATAACAATTACTACGCTGCTATAGGCTGAGCACGTGTGTAACACTAGTTTAAAAGAAGCACAGAGGGGAAGGTGTGCATATTGGGCAGATATGGTGCAGGAAATTACACTAAGTAGTGACAAATTAATTGCATTAATTTTATAGGAACTGTCCCTTTAAATATTTGACTTTATTGTAAATTTGGCAGTCACTAATGTTAAATTTTATGTGCAAAACTTGAAACTGATCTGCAGAATGATCTCTGTATGATATAGAGATCTTCTGAGTTTGTAATGCTTACTTGTCAGATAACTATTTTTCTTTACATGTTGCACCTAATAATTAGTATTACTGATATGTTTTCGAACTTTGTACTTTCTTATGTTACTGTTGCTGTATTTCTCTTGATGTCTTTCTTTTAAAATATGCACCGAAAGTAATTACCAGAATTTTGTAGGTTTTTAACTCAAGATCATTCAGCTGTGAGAGATGGAAAAATTAACTTGCTATTGGTTTTGTTTCTATGCCCACTTCTGGATTCGGATACATCAACTGGCGATAGTTCATGTTGCCATGAAGTGGCACAACCTATATAAGTGTAATCATGAATTCAGCAGATTTTACAGTTGTTATCGTCTATATAAAGCATATTGACTATATACCTTTTATCTTCATATCTAATTAAAATTATTTGAAAGGCTGACACCATTTTTAAATGAACATTACTTGTTACTATGAGAAATGCAAATGCGTTGAGTTGACATTCACAATAGATGTCTTTTTTTGTCAAGAAGAGCCTTGAATCTTGTATATATAAATCTATTTATATGGCAAATCATACTGTGTTTTTACAGGCTATGAGAAGACAGATGATGTTTCAGAGAAAACTTCTCTAGCTGATCAAGAGGAACTGAGAACTATATTCATCAATCAGCCCCAGCTAACCAAATTCTGCAATAATCATGTCAGGTATTAACCAGTGTTTTTGTCAATACATACAGAATTTCAAAACGTATGTGGCATAGCAAAAATGAGGGAAAGACTCTGTTTATTTCACTAATGCTATTTCCTCTGACTGCTAGTTAGTTTCAGACTCTGGAGGGGGAAGCAGACCAAGGAGAGCAGCAGAGCTGTTGTGTCTATAAGTCTGATCTGAATTTTTAAGAATGGGATGAGAAAGGTCTGGATGAGAAAAGGGTTGCTTTTACAGCTGCACCATCAGCATATCCCTGGAGTATGGATTTGTTCTTCAGCTTTCAGTTCAGCTGAAGTTCAGTTTATCTTTAATCTTTCAACTTACTTCTGGTAACTGGATGGTAGTGTAGACATACTTCTCTTGAGCATGGAATTGGTTATGTTTTGGAAATTTTGTCTGTTCAGGCAACCAGCTACAAAGATGCTGTGGCTGCTTATGAAACTGGTTTTGAATTTTGAGTTCGGACTTTAAGACTCGTACTGATACTTTGCAGTACGATTTTTTGGTTAGTTTTTATTGAATTTTAAGTAATACACTGAATACTCATAAATAATGTATGTTTAGATATGAAAACATCCTCCGTTCTGTTGTTAAATTTCAAAGTAAATGAACAGCGAAGATATCCCTGTCCCAAGCACGTGGGTTTTTCTGAAGGTGCCTTTGGTATATGCAGAAATTTTATAAATATTGAGAATAACGTGATGGTTTTTTTCCGTGGGCTTGATGGGGTTTGTCATGGACTTGAAGTACTTTATGATGCTTTTCATTTGAACATGCGGCTTGCCTTTTCTGTCTTTCCCTTTGTTTCTTGACAGGCTATATTCGTTCCACCTTTAAATTGACTGGTTTGTGCAAAGTTAAATTAAATATTACTAACTTTAAAAGGAGTTAAAATATTCTTCCAAATCTTTGGCTTCTAAGTTTTTTGCATGATTATTTTCACTGTTGCTGTTTTAGGACTTTAGATGGTATCAGTCTGTTCTTAAATGTGAGACTAACAAAGAGCAGAGAGTTCAAACACTTCATGATGATGGCTTAGCAGAGATCATTACACAAGGATAAGCTGTACTCTGTTCTTCCAGCCTAGCAAAGCTACACTTAATATCCAATATTTGTCAAGTTTTTTATCTTTTAATGGAATTCTATAATTTTTAATCTTCTCTTAAATTTAAATTCATTTGGTCTTGTTGGGTTTTATTGCACTGAATTGTGAAAACTCATATGCAGCACAGAAGTTCTGCAGCTTCTCAGTCCGGATTTAGCACCCTTCTTGTTATGCTTTTTATCCCTCTTTCCTCAAGAATATGGTCTGAAATGGAGCCGTTGTGCAGCGTTACCCTCCCAGAGCACACCATGGCTTGCAGGGTGGGACAGCTGCCCTACCCGCTCCCTCAGCAGTGCTGCCATCACCTGACTGCTACCTTATCTGTATTTTTTCCTCTCCCTATTGCCTGTAACTGAGTGGCAGCAGTGCTTGATTGCTTCCCACAGAGGGAACTTCTTGCCTCAACAAGTGGAGACAGTCTCCCACCAGTGTCAGGCACTTCCCGCGGTTAGCCAGTTCATGGACACCGGCAGGATTGGCTCTATAGAAGTCCTTCAATATCTCTTTTAGCCAAAGCAAGTCTGTTTGCTAGCACAGAAATCGCAGAAGGTTCAGTTTTATTTGAAAGCTTATATAACTGAGAGGGAAGGAATACATCTGAAGAATTTTTCGTACTGTAATACGTGTGTTTTTGTCTCTTTCTCTCAGCACTGCAAAGTACAACATAATCACATTCCTGCCAAGATTCCTTTATTCCCAGTTCAGAAGAGCTGCTAATGCATTTTTTCTTTTTATTGCATTACTTCAGGTAAGAGCAACAGTAAAATACCTGAAAAATGTTTGACACTTATTGAGAGAGTGTTTATACTGTAGACAGTGTTTTGCAGAGATAGTGAGGTTGATGACTCTTCTTTTTGAGCATGTTTGCCTCACAGAGTAGCAAAATTGTATGAATGTACCTTTAATAAATGTTTGGTTTTGTGATGTTTCTCTATTCCTTGGAGATAACACAATACATACATGTTTTTCTGTAAAACAGGTTAAGAATAGCTGAAGTACTGTCAGGTGGAATAGACCATTGTGGCAGGAAAAACTCATTTTTAAGTATCTGGCATAGACAGAAAAATGTTACCTGTGGCTGGCATTTTATGAACTTTATGAACATTAATCCTGTAGTTTGTTTTGAGGGGTAGAGTTGCAGCTGAGAAGTGATTGTTTATTCCTGGAGTGTAGCTGATAAGGATTGAAGATGAAAAAAAACCAGCAGGGGAGTTCAGTACTACAGTAGCCGTTTTGTATGTCTGAGCTAGTTAACCATGCTGGTTAGGAAAAAAACATATAGCATTTTCTATACCACCACTGTAGCTTCATTCAGTGTGTTTGTAAAGGGTTATACCTGACCCAGCCTACTGAGACTTTTGTGAAGAAGTACATAACACTTTGCAGATATATCAGAATATTTTAGTTTTGCTGGAGCTCAAGTTGATAAAGCAGGTGGCAGTTTTTTGTGTATGGTTCTATGAATGCAATAGCCTATGATGGTGGGCAGGTGCAGTGATAATTACCATTGGCTAGTTCTGTATTCTTTATCACATTTGCCTGAAAACATACTGTCTGTTGTAGAGAGCATTGTGTTAAAAAATTGACATACCAAACTAAAATTACTAAAATAATGGCACATATATTAGCATGTGTACTTTTTCCTCCCTCACTTCAGATGTTTCAGAAAGTGAATGTTGATTCCTCTGTACTTACTCAGGTTTCTCTGCTTCCACTATAAGTGCTTGGAGCAGTTTCTTAGGATGTATCTGCACAGGTAGCTTTTATACAGTGTTCTAGGGGTAAAAGATCTGAAGTTCTAAGTTTCATTAGATTGTCTGCCTGCAAACCTGCAGCTTTTAAAGAAACAGGTTTTTGGTCCCTTCTGGTGTCTCGGGCTAATCCAGTGGTCCACCAGCATTTCCTGTGTTGCCACTGTGTGCCAAGCTAGAGACGCAGAGTGTGAGGTTTCAGAAGCTGTTTGAGGCTTGGCAAAGCTGGGTGAGAGGCTAGCAGGTAGGTGTTTGGGGTGTTAGGAAGTGAAATGTTAAGACTTAAAAGTCCACCGTCTCTTGTCAGGCTGTCAGTGAGACCGCAGTGGCGGGAAAAGGAAGTATGTGGTAATGGAACCAGGGTACAGCCTAGTGCCTCTTTTGCTTTCATATTTTGCCTGCAAAATAATATGTAATTGGAATGGGGGAGCTTGAGCATACATGCAGGGAGGAATAGCTGGAGAAGCAATACATCCCTTTCTCTTGTAGCCAACACATAGGCACTTGCCCAACAGTAACTTTCATCCTATTTTATGTGTAGTTGCTTGAAAAACACGGTCCTGAGTAACCTGGGAAATGGCTCTGTATTTATCTTACTCCAAGAAACATGCCATGCATACAAATAATATCCAGTTTTCTTTCAGATGCACAATGCGATGGTAGCAAAAATAAATTCATAAATAAAATCAGCTGGTTTTCAAAGTGTTTCATAATAAATTGAGGGTGTTGGCCCATCACATTGAGGCACCACTTACCAGTGTACTGTTTTCTTGCAAAGATTTCATTGTAGTCATATGTGCTGCATTGCCTTTTCTAAGTCTATTCAGGCAGCAATCCTCTCACCTATCAGTGTTGCCATTAACAACTCTAGTCAATATAACGATAATTATGGATTATACATCCATGTATATCACATAAGTAGCTGCATCTCCTCAGCATTTACTTTACATGCAGGTTTGCTTGCATCCTCTGTGCCCAAACCTGCTTAGCAAAACTTGGGATCTTAAAAACAGTCTGGCAGAAAGCAGTATTTGAAATTTATTAATCAAAAACTAGTATGATAAAAATATCTCTTAGAGATTAAAACTCTAACGTGGTAAAAGTGCCTTGGAATTGTGTCCACTCCAAGAAAAATCTAAGCTGAAAAAATTAATTGTATTTTATATGTATTTTAGTTTGATTTGAAACATAGAAGGGGAAGGTAAGTATTCTCCAGGCTGTAAAACCTCTGAAAGTAACTCCACTGAATGATATGCTATTTAAAATGCAAATGTTGTTTTATTGTATCAGCTTCTTTTGAATTGAAAACCATAACACTCTCAGAAATAATCAGCACCATGTCTAAAGAGTGAATGCAGTTGCCTGGTATTTATTAGCACAGAAAGTACTACTTCTTTTATTAAAAATATTTTGACAAGCAATGTAAATAATTTTTTTTTCTTTTTTCCTAGCAAATACCAGATGTATCACCAACAGGCCGTTACACAACACTGGTCCCTCTCTTATTTATTTTAGCTGTAGCTGCAGTGAAGGAGATAATAGAGGATATTGTAAGTACTTAGTAGTACTTTTTTGTAAATAGTTTTCAAATTTTTCAAAAGTTTTAATATAAAAATATTGTTGAATAATTCTGTGTTGAACCATCCTTGCCTTATGGATGCTTTTGAAAGTTTCTATAACTAGCTTCTTTGAATGATGAAATCTTTAGAATGTGGTGTTATGATTTGACAGGTTGTTTACTGTATATAGAAGTGACAATAGCATGGTAAAACAGCAATGTTATGTTTGTTTATATAGGTTTTTTTTTCCTAGTCAAATGCTTCTCATTAATGAAGTACAGGCATGTTTTTAAAGGGTGAATTTGAACAAAAGACTACACAGCACCCAGTCCAGTCCAGAATATTCCCAGTTTTCTCAGACGTGGGCTCTGCTAAAAAAGGTTTGGAAGCTATTGAGTTCATCTCGGGTGGAATCTATTTTAAAACCAAATAACCTGTAAATATTTATTTGGGTAGAAAAATATTGTTTTTCTTCCCACAAGAGCTGAGTCCTTTACTCTCACTAATTACACTTGTGAGCTGGATTTCAAGTTCAAGATTTTCAAGTTCCAACCATGAATGACATACTAGACTAACACTTGATAGAAAAATTGTAAGAACTTCTGGCTTTATTCCAGTCCATGAAGAAGATAGGATTAAAAAAAATCTTCACAGGAATCTTATTATTTTTACACTTTTATTTGAGATGCCTTTAAAAAAATCAGATAAGCCCTCAAGAACTCAAGAGTTGAGGAATGAGGAGGCTACATAGTCTCAAGTATCTTAATTTCTTCTCCATACCTGAAACTGGATAGATTTTTGTTTTAGGACTAAAGTCCTGGACCTTTCTAGAAAGTGTCTTTTAACTTGTTACTGGAGTTACAATGCGATACTTTTAGTATGAGTACAGGTTGCTAATGGGCCACTTTTAAAATGGATTTTCCCCATTGCCAAATCCAGGTGCATGCATCTGATGAATCTATTTCTGAAGTCACGTGCATAAAATCCTTGGCTTCACTGTTGTGATTTTGCGTGGATTTGTAGACAGCAAAGGAGGGAATAGGCTTTCTTTCAAATTTTTCTATTTCTCTAGACCAGTGCAAGTTACTGTTTAGTCTTTCATGTCTTGGTGCTAAGTATGATCTGCTGATGCCTGATGGCAAGGAACAGCCACGGAACTCCTGTCATTTTTAGGTGGGCGCCCCCACGCATGTGAAACCTTCTTTGGTGCTCTCCAGTCAGCATTTGTGGTAGTGGTTCTTTGGCTTTCTTCTTGCATTGAATGAAAACTTACAAGAGGTGGGACGTTGTCATGACTTGGAAGTGTCCATGCTGATTTCTTCTGTTTTGTGGGTAGGGAAA